TCTCCTCGCCTTAACCAGATTAGCGGTCTGAGCATCAACCGCAGAAGGCGAGGCAGATGGAGGCTGCAAAGTGGATGCCCCCCCTTTCCCCCCCACAGGTACTGCCAGGACGTCCCTTCTCTTTGCTTCCGCCCCCTTCCGCCCCCACCACTCCACAAACGCAGATGGGAAGCAGGCAGGCTTTATTCGAAGGGAGTTTGCCAAGACGTTGTCGCTACGAGTGGGTGATAAACTGAACAACTCAACTGTGCAGAATCAAGGCGAGAACAACATGTGGTCTGGCTGTTCTCTCTCTCCCCCCCCCCCCCCCCCCCGTGGCTTTTCCAAACCAACAATGTCATTGTCTGTTAAAACACACCTTTGTAAGCCGGTCGCGTTTTCTTTGCATGACGGGGAGGCCAAATGCCCTCCTTGCCCTGTAGGCTAATTTTACTTGGAAATCTCCCAAGTCATGTCCAGTTAAATCCAACTTGGAGGATGAAATATTTGTCTATGAGAAGAACTCAAGGGCAGCCCATGGTAACCAACGTGTTTCATTGGTTCGTTGAGTTGTGATCTTTGTCTTTGGCGGTCAAACCCAGTGTTGGTGGTGTAAGATTGCTGTCCCTGGTCTTGTGTCCATGTCCTGTTGGCACCACCTGGGCGGCTTTGCTCCCAGCTGTAGAATCCGATGCCAACTGGGGCTGGTGGACTCATTGGAGGTGGAGTTGCTACCTCTCACTTGCTCCTCTTTTGGTCTACATGCGCCTTATTCCTGGTTCTGCTGGCAGGGAGGCACTGCGGAGGTTAGGTTGGTGGTGCCCAGCTGCCCAGAACAGTAGAACCAGGCCAGCTTCTAGCTTGCTCTGTTGGAGAGCTGGAGGCTGTGCCCTGCTGGCAGCTATATGGGGTAGACCCTGTTGTGTAGCTGGTGGGGAGACAAACCATTCCCTAAAAGCCATTCCTTTGGAAAGCATTTTACAGGGTGCGTTCGGACACAATATTATATATGCATAAACACAACATATACAAAATGTATGTTTTAGGTTGATAAATATATAAATTTGGAAAAATAGAGATTGTTAAAAAATCATGTGTGAACTTCTCCTGCAATAACACCACCTTCTTGGTTGCTCATATTTTTTTGGAGTAACATTTAGTCCCAGATATTCTTTTTTGCCTTGACTTGCATAACAGGAAAAAAGAAGTTCATATTTAGCTCATCTCCTCATATTCTTATCTTCTTCTTCTTCTTTGGTCTCCCAGCAGCCGAAGGATAGCAAACATATGTATCTGTGGTGCTGCCACAGCATTTTGAAAATGCTGTGTAAGGACCCCATCTGTAGAGCAAAACAAAACAGAGGAAAAAAAATATCTCAAAGAGTAGCTGTGGTTGGTCTTTGAGTAGGAGGAGCAAAGCTATTAAACCTGCAAAGCTGTAGAAAAACATTAAGCAGGAGCAGTATTTTTGGCCGTGTGGAATATTTACTGTCTCTAAGGATCATCTCACGGGTGTTACTTGACCTTTCCAACTGGATTTCCACTGAGAATTTAGCCTTAGTCAGAAGAGTGCCTGGAATTAATCTTTGGAAAGGCCAGTTAACCTCACGTCAGAAATTTGTGAAGATTCTCGGTCCTCCAGGTGAGGTTACCTGGAAGTTGAGTCATGGCAACTGGACTTGTTTCTTGTTAGGTTGAAACATTTTGCTGCTCTTTCAAGCAGCGTCTTCAGTCTGAGGAAAGTTGGTAGGAGACCCCGGATACATCTGGATATATCAAGGATCTCCTGCCAACACTCCTCAGACTGAAGAAGCTGCTTGGATGAGGAGCGAAACCTTTCAGCCTAATAAGAAAGAAGTCCAATTGCCATGACTCAACTTCCAAATTCATTGCAAGCTATTTTAGAAACATATGGCCTGCTTCATGGTTATCTCCTTACCCAAAGTGACTACCATTTCGAAACATCAAAGGAACAAAGCCTGAACAATGCCAGGTATAAGGCAATGGAAAGCAAACAAATTATATGTTATTGTACTTGTGGGACTTTTCAGCACTGGCAGGAACAGAAGCCGGACTCAGCAGATAACCCTTGCAATTAGATTATCTTTGTTCTTTGAATTTCCCTTCCAAATGAATAACGGGGTTGCCTGAATATATGCCTTCCTCACATTCCCTTCCTTGGAATGGCGATATTAGGGCGACAGAATGAGAGAGTGACCTTTCCAGGCCACTCACAGTATCCTCCAGCCGTGCTCATTATCTGAACCGCCTCCTTCGCTTGACGACTGTGTTTTGCATTAAGGGGAGATTGATCATTCCCGGAAACCTACCAGGTTTTCAATTCTGGTTTTGTTCCAGGGCCTGACAGCCAAATGTGAGGGGGCTTTCCTTCCTTCGTTACCTTGGCCCCTTCTGGCAGAGTATTTTTCCTTAAGGAAAATGCTTTCACATCTGCCAAACTCTGCCTGTCAGACCAGCTCATAGGGCGTCCTTACTGTAGATGTTGGTAGCAGTTCTGTTTCTGGTGGTGTTACCTGTCGTATTTGCACCCGGTCTGTTGGTTATGGATTCACTGAATCCACTTGGTTGACAGTGGGTTCTTTTTGTGACGAAGCACGGGGTTCAAGCTTTATAAAAATAATAAATAAAAAGACTGTGACTGTTCTGTGTGAAGCTGAAAGGTGTGCGATGTAAACAACGTAAGCTGTTCACCACAGTGGTAATTACTGCTGGCATACCAGCAACTCCTGTTGGGTGTGGTCTCTGTTAGAATAATAATAATTTTAAAAAGCCCACGGTGTCTCAAGTCTTCATGTTTTGGAGAACTTGCTTGTGCAAAAAGCGTTGGAGGAAGGGAGGCAACAGAAAAATGCCATTTAGATTGGATCTTGAGGTGGTGGTTGCAGGAACACAGTTCTCCCAGTGGCCTTACTTACAGCTGACAGCCGATAATAATTTCACGTCTCTCTTGAAGCCTCGGTGGATTTGAATCACACCTCCTGGTTTGTTGTAATCCAGCTACTTATTTATATGAGTCCCTTTTCAAACATTTCCCCCAGGAAATGGAATTCGTCTATCAGCCATGTGAGTTCTTGCTCCACGCAGTGGCTTTCTTAAATGCATGGGATTTAGGATCTGATTGCTTCTGTGTATATTTTTACTCACAAGGAGGTGTACACAGTCCCAATCCAGACCAGAACCACTGCACTGGGTTCTCCACTTCGCCATTATGCAATTCACCCCAAAGCTTTCCCTGTCTAGGAGCATTCAAAAAGAGGAAAAGGCTTGATGGCACTCATTCAACTTAAGCCCTGGAAGACCTTCCAGAGGCATCCATTGCACCAATATCCAGATGTTTTCTTTATCTGGATTCTGCAAATCCACTGCTGTCTATAATTTCGCTGCATCAGGGAAATACAGACGGCCGATGGGTGGAGATGACAAGGGTTGTGGTTGCCAGGGTTAGATTAGAAACAGGGTGAAAGGAGGTTCAGCGGCTTGCTAACCAGTGGATGCCTTTGAGCCGGGCTTCCTCCTCCCCCAGATCTGCTTTTGATCCCAAATGATTGGAAAATCCTAAAAAGAGTTGAGGGTCAACAGCACCAGATTTGGTCTCCATCCTAATGGGTTCCCTGGACTAAAGTTATCTTTCAGGAAGCATCCTTCCCGTATGGAAATATGGCTCTTAAGCCAGGCTATAACTTTAGCTTTATTGCTGGAGATCTTTGAAGCTGAATGTGCTTGTTTTTTAAATCTCCCTTTGCTCTGGAGCCAGAGAAGAGCACTTTGAACCTTCTCTGAGCTTGTAGGGAGGAGTCGTAGGAAAATTAATACATTCTCTGTTTGTAATACATTCTCTGATTGCCCAAAGTATCTGGAGCGATGCATTGCAGTCCTTCCTTCCCTCATGTTTCTGTCGTGTTAATGGGAAACCAAAGGACATAAGCCATTCTTCTTTCTGCGCTCCCTCAGACCAACTGGGACGGCTAATAATGACGGAGACCTGGCTTCTTGGAGCTGTGCCGCTGAGTGCTTCTGAAGCTTCATTCATGGGCGACTGGAGAAGGCGGCAAACTGTCGCTTGGGTTGTGTCACCTGTCATTCTGGTCATGTTTGAGTATTGAGTACCCCACAGGGTTCTTTCGCACCCACGTTCCTCCTCTTTGGGCTCTGGGGTCTCTGGACGGAGAACGGGAATTTCTGGGGCTCCATCACTTGCCAGAACAACACGGGGTTGACTGTGTGACTCTACGAAGGGACAGGGTGCAGCTTTTCATCGCCCACATATGTAGCTTTGGCTGCTGGAGGAAACGTTGAGTGCCACGTGGTTTGGGCATCTGGTTGCGGGACCAGAGCCTGGGATTTGGCTTGACAAGGGCTGGACTTGATGACCCCATGGGGTCCCTTCTGGCTTTGCAATTCTAGGTTGTTGTCTCTTAACAGTGGCGTGGCTTTAGGAGTCAGGCGCTAGGGAGCCATCAAGTAATTGAATACAAATCAAAACTTTATTGGAAGGGAATGTTTTAAAATGAAGTACTTAAGTTAGAGTAGTAATGATAATAATAATGCATCTATTTCTTCCTGAATAGATGTATTTTAAAGCAAAAGTAATGAGGGGTGGGATCTTTTCATCCTGCAAATGTAAAGGCCAGGTTTGCATGTTTGGGTTGCATCCCCTGCGAACATTACAATGCTAAATCTTACAGGGTGTGAGGCAGGAAGAGGCACTGACCCCAGGGAAAATTATAGTATGTACTTTATTCCAAATTAAAAGCCAGGCACATTTCAGGTTAGCCTTTTCAGCTTTCTTCAAGGGTGTGAATATTTCACTGTTGTTAGCTCTGTTTAGAAGAACTTTTTGTTTATGGTCTGAGTCCAGTGCCTTTTTCTCCACCTGCACTGTTTTAAAGGGAAGTTTGAAATCCAGATGTGTCATCATCCTTGTCTTGGAAGCCAAAGATGCTGCAGATTTATTTGCCATTCCTGGATCCTTATTCCTCCGTCCTTCATTTCTTTCCCAGATTATTCCTCGGCTGTACAGAGGTTTGCCCAGACGCTTCAGTCCTTCCAGTTTGACTTTATCGGGGACACTCTGACTGATGATGAGATTAATATCGGTAAGTGCTTTCTCTGCTGTGTGTGTTGTTATTACCTTTGATGAGAAGATATCGGCCCCCTCTGAATTGTGTCTGTCTTGGTGCTTTGCTCATCCATAACAGACTGAGCTATAGTCTTAACTAAAAATTACGAGGTACATCCAACCGGCTTGTAAAGAAAGAGTGCCAAAGGCAGCTCTTTGAGGGCCCCCGGTTCAGTTTGCATTTGTGCCCTGGATTTGGGGCTGGCTTCTCTGAATTTGGTGGCATGCAGGGCTAGCCAAAATTAAGGACCTTCTGGGAAGCTGAAGGAGCAGAGTGCAAAAGCTGATCATGTTCCCCTACTGTTCTTGCCCGCTGACTGGTATCTGTTAGCCCAGTTTGGATTAAGCCTGGTGTCTTCCAAAAACGTGAATCATGATGCACTTTACTTGAAAGGTAGTCCTACAGAGGAGTGGCAGGACCTGTTGTTGATCATCCTAAATTGCAGGGTATGCAACAATGGCATCAAGTTATACGAATCCAGATTTAGGCTGAATATCAAGGAAAACCTCTTAACTGTTAGAGGAGTATGTCAACGGAACCCATGACTTCAGGAGGTGGGGAGTGCCCCAGGGATGGAGGCACTCAATTGGAGAACCACCTGTCAGGCCTGCTTGGATGTGGATTCCTGCCTTGTGCAGGGGGTTGGACCCAATGGCCAGAGAGGCCCCTTCCAACTCCATGATTCTATTCTTCCTCCCTCTCTGGTCCTGCTGCAAGGCGGCCTTTGGGAATGATGATGGAGATCCCTGGTTTAATGCAAGGCAAAATCTTGTACCAAAACGAAGGCAGAATCTTGTACCAAAACGAAGGAGGGGAAGTGAAGCAGCATGGGGATGAGCGAAGCACTCATCTCAAGAAGTTTGTTGCTAGTTCAATAAACCAGAGTTTGCTTGTTTGTCAGAAGCACTCGTCTCAAAATGTTTGTTCAATAAACCAGAGTTTGCTTGTTTGTCTGAGTCCTTGGTGCTGATGGCACACAGCCTCTAACCTGGGGCATTCCATATGGCTGGGCATATGCTTGTATAATGGCTAGTCACTCTTAATAGACGTCCTCCATGAACTTGTCTAATGCTCTTTCAAAGCTGTCGCAAGGGAGTGTGTTAGACACATTCCGTGAGTGCAAATTCCATAAATTAATTAAGCGCTTTGGGAAGGATTGCCTTAGCCCCTTTCTTTGCTCCACAGAAGTTTTGATCATACCAGGTCTTCGTTTGCAAGAACACCGGGACCACAGCTGCCCATTCCTGGCCCTTCTCATAACTGCCTCTTGTAATTCTACCAGCTCCTATTGGTTCCAGATCTTCTGAGACTTGTGTGAGGAGATTGTCCTCTCTCCTGCAGGCTCTCAGTTCCCATTTTGTGGTTCTCTGCAGCAAACTGGCAGAGGTTCATCCAGCAAATCCATATCATAGGCACGAAAGTAGTAATAATGGAAACCAAACCTGAGGGTGTGTGTGTGTGTGGGGGGAAGCGGTGGTCCAGCGGCATAATTCCTTCTAAAAAGCAGTTGGGAAATTCATCTGTGTCCCACATTAAGTGTTTGCTTTTTAACCAACCGGGAGTTTTAGGGTCTGGAAACTGCTGTTGTGGAAACATCGGAGGCCGAGGGTGCTGATTAAGTGAGCTGGAAAGTCTTACCACTCCTGGAACAGAGTAGTAAGTGCCTGCTGAGATGACTCAGAGAGAGGGAGGATCGGATCGCAGGCTTGCTTCCAAAAAAGTCAAGATTATGCTGCTCTTTGCTTTAACCTTGGGATGTAAAGCAGACTGAAAGATGGGCAGCTGAGCCCGGTGCTGCCCCACGTCCGGGGGGCACCCACGTGGAAAGGCCACTGGTAAATGTTCAGATCCTGCTGGATTGTGTCTGGAGCATTCATCCTGTATCCATTGCCACCAAGAAATGCAACAGAGCCCTACGTAAATTCAAAGTGGTATTTGAATTGCCAGCGGTATCCGTACCCAAAGACTGCACCTTGTTCAGTCAGGGATAATCCTGTTGTTAGGCGCTGTCCAGATTTGTAGGGATTCTGTGAAAGGTTGGCTGCCCAAACGGTCCCCTTTGTAACAACCCAGCTCAGACCTTGCAAGTGTCGATCCTAAGTGCTTATTTTCCACTCTCTCCCTTCTCTCTCTCTCTTTTCCAAAGCTGAATCCTTTAAGGAATTTGCAGAACTGCTGCAGGAAGTGGAGCTGGAGAGGTCGATGATGGTAAGGCTGCCCTTTGGGGGGGGGGCTCATGGGTTGTGTGGTTGGAGGAGATGGGTCATCCTCTGCAGTGGCGTTAGGGCAGGAAGTGGGAGCTGACGGGGGGGGGGCTGAAGAACCACAACAGCGGGGCAGACCATGGCCAGGGAGTCACCGCTGCTCACATCCAGACACAGACAGATCGGGGTTATTCTGCTTGATTTATTAATTGGATTTATTGTGGCGGTCTGGGCTCAGAATTGAGTTATAGCGACCCTAGCAAGGCTTTCAAGGGAAGCGAGATATTTAAGAAAGAAAGAAAGAAAGAAAGAAAGAAAGAAAGAAAGAAAGACAGACAGACAGACAGACAGACAGACAGACAGACAGACAGACACTCACTCACTCACTCACTCACTCACTCACTCTCTGAAGGTGCTATAGGTTTTTAACCTGTTGACTGCCGGTGCTGCACAAACGGACTTTATGCCCTAAACCAGCCGCCGCCACCCCTTCCAGATGCACACCATTAGAAGAGGAAGGCACAAAAGGGGAGCCCTCAGGATGGGGCTGCTTCTCTGCCTCCCCAGCCCCCAGGTCTCACCTGTTTCCTACAGAGAGAACCTTAAGTGAGCGGTGCTACAAGAGAGAGAGAGACACGCTCCTCTCTCCCCCCTCCCACGCCTCTCTGCTCGTGACAGCTCTCTGGGGCGCCCACCCACACAAAGAGCACTCCGCTGGGGTTCCTTGTTCCTTGCAAACTAGGCAGCTGGTTCTGAGGGTTGAGTCAGCCCCAGTCTTTCATTGCAGATCCATTGTTCTTTGGGGTGTTGCGTGTGCGGCGTGTTGGCTGCCTGCCTTCAGGGTCCATCCCATGACGACCGGAGCGTGGGATCCTGAAGGTTTCAGGTTGCTCACCAGAGATCGAGAACTGACAGCTTCTGGGGGAAAAAAAAGAAGGTGGACAGCCTGGTTAAATGAAGATTCAGTGTGGAACAATCCTTGTAAATAAGCTACCTCCAGCTGATAAGACTCAGTTTTTCATCTTCTCATCACCAGGAAAGGGACAGTCAAGCAGGGAGGGTGAGGAGGGCGCCGGGGCCAGTCGGTCGCTGCCTTGAAGAGAGAAAGCAGGCCAGGGATTGTGATCCTCTGCCCTCGGTGGCTGTGGGTCTGGGAGGCTGGGTTTTAGGGTTGATGACTGCAATACCACGTGCTTATCGGAATGTGGAAATGGACCCCAGAAATCTCACGCAACATACAGAAAGACGATCAGGCTCATCTCAAAAGCCACAGCTTCAGCTCAGATGTGCTGTGGTTGGCAGTTCTAGGTGGTGGCGCATACCTTGTTGTGGTCATACATGTGTGTCTCTGTGTTAGTGCACCACAATCCATGGGTTTCTTTAAGACCTCCAAACGTCATGCCAGCATTTCAGAGTCTTTGGAAAGCGGCCTGATGGACTGCAAGTCCTAAGCAGTTTTTCTTTTCTTTTTACTTCTTGGGACTTTTTGATATGTATGAGATTAATTAAAGCTCTTTTCACCCCTAAAAACCTGCTTATACAGGTGTTTGACTTCATCTTCTGTTGGAGACACAAACTGTCTTCTGTAAACTCCTTTGGTTTTTTTTTAGTTCTGTGCCAAGCATTCCAGAAAATGATTAACCGTCCTGCCTACTTCTCGTCTGAAGGGTGTTGCTTTAAAGTACTCACGTCAAAGAGTTTGGAAGTGAAACACTAATTCATCCCTGTGTTCTTGCAGAAATGGATTCATCCTTAATGAACTTCACTGATTTTTCTCCTTCGTCTACAGGTGCAAAATGCTAGCGATTTGTTGATCAAACCCCTGGAAAACTTCCGTAAGGAGCAAATTGGATTCACCAAAGTAAGTCTCTATCTCTCCTAATCGTTTGAATTATTTTAGAAATGCTTTTCTTCTAAGCTGAGGTGATGCTTTCCAAGTGAGGATGGTGTAAGTACAGTGGTGCTGCACAAGACGATGTTAATGCGGTTCCCCATTGGAATGCATTGAAATACATTTAATGCGTTCCAATGGGGAAAATAGTCGCTGTCTTGCGAAAATCGCCCATAGAGAAGCCATTTTGCGAAGCGCGGATCAGCTGTCAAAATCGTCATCTTGCGAAAAACAGTCCCGAAAACAACCATTTTGCGAAGTGCGGACCTAGCTGTCAAAATCATCGTTTTGCGAAAAATGGTCATGGAAAAGAAACCGTCTTGCAAAGCACAGACCAAAACATCGTCCTGCAAAAATTGCTCATAGGAAAAACCATTTTGCAAAGTGCTATAGTGATCGCAAAAACTCATTGACTTGCAAATAAACCGTTTTGCGAGGTAATCGTCTAGCGAGGCCCCACTGTACAGCCCTGTGTGATTTGCCTCCTCTCACTTTCAGAAGCAAGGAAAAAAGGATGGAAACTTGTCCTTAAGGACTTCAAAATGAACTGTGGGTAGTGCCGGCAAGGCCTGTGTCTTTGTAAGAGGCTTCCTTATAACGATGGAAACGTTTATTTCTCCTGGTATCAAAAAGTCAAAGTTCCACATTAGTCAGCAAGCCCCGTCCTGGAACAACTGGCTGAAGCCCAGCTTTGAAATGGAGATCTCTTGGAAAGACGCTGGAGCTTGGATAGAGCCCAGCCCATCTGGAGCCTTGACATTTAAGCACGCCCACATTGCAGAGCGTACGACTCAGCCTCTTGATTGCCCCTTCTCCCGTCTCCACGCCCGGCCGTTGAGTTCCCAAACAAATGGCATCATGCAATAATCATTGAGGCTCGGCTGTTTTCTGGGCGGGTTTTGTGCGAAGCGAAGAGCATGTTCGTTGCCCTCTTGAAAGACAGGGAATGTTTTAAATCTACCCATGGGCTGATTTTTTTCCTCCCTTTGCTCTTTTTTGCTTTGCTTCTCTTAGCCTGTTAACGAACCAAAGGCCTCTCGTCTTGGCAGGAACCCTTGGAGTGAGGAGTGAGGGGCGTCTGCACCCAGAGGGTTATTACGCTCCCTCCACGAGATGGCTCTTCTCTCTCTCTCTCTCTCGTGTGTGTGTTTTCCACGAGATGGCTCTTCTCTCTCTCTCTTGGGTGTGTTGGGGACCAGTTGGGGTTTTGGGACAGGACCTTTCCTTGCACAGCCCTCATCAGCATCTCTTTGCTCCTTTAGAGTGGAATCAGGGACAAACCTGAAATTAGTTTTTACATAAGTGAGACTGTTCATTAAAATAATCACGTGCTGTTAAGTCCATCCTGACTTAGGGTGACCCTTCTCAAGGTTTTCAAGTCCATCCTGACTTTGGATGACCCTTTTCAAGGTTTTTTTCCCCATAGATAGACCTCCAAAGTGGTTTACCCTTCCCATCTTCTGGGGTGTGTGTGTGTTCTCTCTCCCCCATCACTGAGAAAGGAATCCTACCCAAATGCAGAGCGTCAGAGAGCAGATCCATGAAGCCTAGATCCTTTGGGATGTTTTCTGAACAGGTCCTCGTTGAAACACGTTGGATCTGGAAAAGAAAAAGGACGGTAGTTTGCTTCATTGGGGTTTGCCCACACGGCCATCATAGAAGGAGTTCTGCCACTACGTGCCCGTCTCCCAGCATGTAAATGGTTTAGTCGTCTCTCCTTCCCTAAAGATGTTCATCGGAAGAGACCAAGCCTCCGTCGGCATGTCAAGTCAACACGCATGCCCGTGGGATGTGAAAGAGATGAGGGACGTATTGGCTCCAACTCAGTCAAGCCACTCTCTGCATTTTATGGGCTTTGTGACTGGCTGGACTGGTCTGCCTTTGGAGTAGCTAGTCTGTTCCTGGTTGGCTTGGACAAGTTACAAGCCCTGATCCAACTCAAGGTGGTTCTGAATGAGTCCTGCTGGAAGGAAGCACCCGTTGTGACTAAGTGCAGATGGCGAGCCATCCTCTCTTGCTGGCTTGTGTGCTCGCTCCTCTCCTTGGTAGATTTGCTCACCCACATTAACTTATCCCAGCTGTTGAAAATTAAAATAAATACCAGATGACTGTAAAGCTGGCTTCCTCCATCAATAAAAGCTCCACTTACCATTGGTGAATTTTGGCTGCAGCCATGGATGTGGAGGAGAAACCAGCAAAAGCATCTACTCCTGACCCTTTTAAAACCAGGGTGGGCACTCAGGGAGGGTGGCTTCTTAATCCCGTTGGACATATTTCAGGTTGCCAGCATATTGCAGCCACCGCTGCTCCGAAAGCTTTCTTGAGAATAAAAATTGCTTGATGCTTCTGCCCTCCCCCATTTTTCCCCCCTGTTTCCTCGTAAAGCTGCTTTATTTTGCAGAAAGAGGCCGGAGGACTTAGTGGAGCAGATGGCTGCCTCTGCTGATCCTGTTTTGCTTTCTGATTAAGTCTTCTGGAAGTGCTTTGCCATCCGAAACAGTTTGCTCTCAGAACTGCCCAGATGCCAAGTTCACACAAACAGCAGATGTGTGTCTGTGTGTCTGTGTGTGCGAGAGACTCTGCTTCAGTAAAAGCAAGACATTCTGTATGTACAAGACGTCACATATGTTTCGAGGTACAAAGGAAATAGCAGAGAATCAAGTTGGGAATGGCTGTTCTGCCTCCGGCCAACAATCTCCCCATTTAAAGGAACTGGGCTTTCATGTGCAGAAGGGGGCAGTGGGTCACCCTTTCTCACGTGCGCAAGGGGACGGTGAAAAACCCCAGTTGTGCAAGGTTCAAACCATGGCACTTGCTGTTGAAAAGTTGGTTAGAGTTAGATGGATTTGCTTGTCCACGGACATGGAGGGCTGGGAGGGTGGCCGTCTTTCCTGCCCTCGGTCTCTGCACCTTGACATCCTCGTTGACCTTAGGCAGTGGCTGCAAAGCTGGTTAATACGTACTCTACCACTAGGGGGAGAATATTTTTTAACCTAAAATGACCTAAGGTTAAAAAAAGAGCAGGAAAGGTTTTTTTTCCTGTTCTTATCTTGGATTTCTGTTCTCAAGTAGAAGCAAAATTTAGCAAATGGAGCTGTTCTTAAGTTGGATTGTTCTTAAGTAGAGACGTTCTTAAGTAGAGACCCCACTGTACAAGACATCACATATGAGTTTTGAGGTACAAAGGAAATAGCAGAGAATCAAGTTGGGAATGGCTGTTCTGCCTCCGGCCAACAATCTCCCCATTTAAAGGAACTGGGCTTTCATGTGCAGAAGGGGGCAGTGGGTCACCCTTTCTCACGTGCGCAAGGGGACGGTGAAAAACCCCAGTTGTGCAAGGTTCAAACCATGGCACTTGCTGTTGAAAAGTTGGTTAGAGTTAGATGGATTTGCTTGTCCACGGACATGGAGGGCTGGGAGGGTGGCTGTCTTTCTTGCCCTCGGTCTCTGCACCTTGACATCCTCGTTGACCTTAGGCAACGGCTCCTCATGTCCATGTGGGCATGGTCTGTGGAGTGGGAGCAGAACCTCTTTCCAGGTAGATGTTTTGAGGACAGTCACTGTGTTAGTTTGTTCCAACAAAGGCAACAGTCCTCCAGCACCCTTAAGCCTATAACCAGTTTATTTCAGGGCAACTTTTCATAGAGTACAAACCGACTGCAATCTGGGGACACGCCCTCTGCTATAAACGTGTTAGTTTTAACGATGCTGTTTGGTTCCAGGGCATGTGTGTGTGTGAGAGAGAGACTGTTGCTTCCTTTCTTCAGCCTCTGTGGGGAGAGGGCTTGGAACCAATTCCCTAAAATTATGGAGGGGGGGGGCTGCTGTCTTCTGCAGACCTCAGTCCAGGGCAATTTGTAATCCTTCAGACCCAGCCATGCCCATCAGCATTGAGCCATCAATTTGAGGCGACCCTGGAGGGCCAGGCACAGTTCCTGTGGCTGGAGCGTCCCCAGTAAGTAGGTGGCCAGCTTTCGATTGAAGACCATCCCGGAAGGGCAGAGAGGACCCTCCTTTGGCGCAACCAGTCTTCTCATTGCCCTGCCAACCTGTCCTTCCCCTCCACCAGCCACCTTTTTTTTTTTACCTTCCTAGGAACTTGTTCCAGGTTATCTGTATCCATCCCAGAATTCCACTTTGTGAACTGGATGCAGCGCTCCAGGCAAGGGCTGACTCGGCATAACAATGCAAATAACCACTTCCTTCCCGATGGCATTCGCCATTTTTGCAGCGGCGTAACACTTGCTGACTCATGCTCCTGGCGGTTGGGGTGTCTGTGTGTGTGTTCCTTTGTGGTTTTCTGCTGCGGTTTGGCAACAGGCAACATTTTTTCAAGGCTTTGCCTCCTTCACCATGGTTGGCTTTGCTTCCTTCGCCTCCCGCTGAAAAGACCAGCTTTTCAGCGGAAGGGTTTCACAGCGCTGAGCGCGTCCAGTTCCGCCTCTCCCTCGCTTCGCTGGGGATTCAGCCACTTCCTCATTTTCGCCCTCTGATGTCTGCTGGCAGAGAAAGTGTTTGGGATCCTGCATTTGTAAGAGGGGAGTTTGTTGTTTTGCCATAGCCGTGGCTTGAATAAACTATTCCATTGGAGGGCAAAGGGCTTACAGGCTTACCCACAGTTTTGTCTGTCTCCTGTGTAACTCCCTCATTGTTCAGGCACTTAATGCTGAGGGTTAGATGGGTGCCAGACTGACGCTGCACGGAGAACGATGGCCCTGGGAAATGGGGAACCTGCCTTCACCTCCAGAGCCAGCCAAGAAGCTTAGGGCAACTTTGGGGATCTTATCACGGTCTCAGGGGTGGAAGAGAGACTGGGATGGTGTGATTCTGTATTTCTTGTGGGAGGAGCAAAGTAAAAAAACCTAAGTAGAAATGTTGATAATGAGGATTTGACTCTTGAGATCTTCTCCTGGCAGAGATTAGAACTGCACGAAGTCCCATCAACCGTGATCCCTCAGAGCCAAGGCAGAGCGGCTTCACTTGTTTCTTTGGCATCCACGGAGTCCTTTCTGAGTGGCTGTAAAGCTCTTCAAGGACCGTTCCTTGGGAAACAACCCTTTGCACTTACAACGTGCTGACCCCCCGATTCTTCCTCTCTAGGAGCGAAAGAAGAAATTTGAGAAAGACGGTGAGAAATTCTACTCCATGTTGGATCGCCATCTGAATCTGTCGTCTAAGAAGAAAGAATCCCAGCTGCAAGAGGTAATGCGGATGGTTGGCTGGCTGTACAGACTGGAGCAAAAGGTGCTTATGCCACTTGACCACCCTGGCGTGGCCAGTCTGGCCAAGGTGCCTGCTGTGCGCAGCTGCACACGTCCCGCCGGGTGGAGGAGGCAATGTTTGGTAAAGGAATCACACCCTTGCCCTTGACTCCACAGAAGGTGCCTTGAACCAAGAAGCATTGCTTTTTCAAGGGATACTCTCTTAGTTTTGATGCCATCATGGATGCTTTGAAGTGAAAATAGGGTCCAGGTAGGAAAACAGGCGAAGGTAGCAAATACAGCTGGTTCTTGGAGAAAAATGCCAAAGTGATATTGGATTGTGTTTACTGAAAAGAGAAGGTAATTTCCCCCCCCTCCAACAGCCTGGGGGTTTGTATTCTTGATCATGGCAGTGTTCGCTCATGGGGGGTGACCTCCCTTTTTCTTCCTCCTCCAGGCGGACTTGCAGGTGGATAAAGAACGGCACGTTTTCTTTGAATCATCACTGGAATATGTCTATCAGATCCAGGAAGTGCAGGAGAGCAAGAAATTCAGCAGCCTGTAAGCAGCTTGCTGCCTGTCCTGCAACGTCCGTAGGGTGATAAAGCTGCACATTCTTCCAAAGGAAGAATTGATTTATTCGTTTATTTGTCTGGAAGGCGAATTCTGCCCTCAGCAAAATATTTGCTGTGTTTTTATTTTTCTGTGTTAAAATAATCCCCACTGTTTTGAATGCAAATGGGGATTTTCACAATTATCATTGGCCCGTGTAGAAACCCCCCCCTCAAATCCACGAGAGCAAGACATTTAGAGTCCTTAAGGTCATTGAGTCCAACCCTCTGCTCCCTGCAGGAATTCAAGTCCTAGATCTGAGAGATGGTTGCCCAATGTTCTCTGGAAGGCCTCTGGCATTGGAGCGCTCACTACTTCCTGAGGTCATGGGTTCCATCATCATACTACTTTAACAGTTAAGACGTTTTTCCAGAAATTCAGCTGATATCTGGCTTCCTGTCCCTCGAGCCCATTGTTACGTGTCCTGCACGGATATTCAGCTGATATCTGGCTTCCTGCCCCTCGAGCCCATTGTTACGTGTCCTGCACTCTGCGATGACCGAGAACAGATCCTGCCCCTCCTCTGTAGGACAGCCTTTCAAATATTTGAAAAATGCTATCCTCTCACCCCTCCATCTTCTTTTCTCAAGGCTAAACATGCCCAGTTCCTTATTTATCAAACACCCTTTCCATTTTTTTAATCGTTCTGTGCCGCCAAGCCACTTCTTGGACAGGTGAGATGTTCTAGGAGTGGCACGCATGCCCAACCGCCCCTTGGGACCCGGGCTTCTCAAGTCTAAATCTGATTGCTGTTTTTTTCCCCCACCTGCACAGGTTTTGGCTTTTCTTCACAGCCTGTTCACCTACAACAACTTGACGGTGGAGCTGACACAGGACTTCCTTCCATACAAACAGCAGCTTCAGCTCAGCTTGCAAAATGTGAGCATCAGAACCAGATTTCTGAGTCTCTCTCTCTCCTTCTGCGCTTCTCAGATGAGGTGGTGACAGGAGCTTAGAGGCCCTCTTTGCAAGCTCTTCAGTCGCAGACTCTCTTCCAAAAGATCCAGATGTGTTGTCTTTATGGCATATTTCAAATGCAGTCCTTAAAAATTGTTGTTGTTGGTGGTGATTGTTGTTGCTGTTCTTGTTATTATTGTTCTTATTGATCTTTTTCTTCTTGCTCAACAGACCAGGAATCACTTCACCAGCACACGGGAGGAGTTGGAAGACCTCAAGAAAAGAATGAAGGAAGCGCCATTGACCTGCAAGTTGCCCGGGAAGCCGACCATCGAGGGATATCTGTATTCCCAAGAAAAATGTAGGTGGCGTTTATTTCAGGTGCTTCAACCCCATATTTGCCCTACCGGGTTCAGCCCCAGATTGTCCCAGAGTAGGACACGTTTCCTCTTCCCGTTTCTTAACCTTCTTTTTCTAGGTCAGGGCTTGGTAGAGCTGAGATTGGCTTTGACTTTTGGTGCCACCCTGAGATGCACCTATGAGAGCCTGACCCAAAAGGCACACACACTCGTGAACATGTGCTGAGGACCAGACCCAAACGCTCCACACTCCGTCCTTAGAAAAAGCAACAACACACCATGTATTAATTTGGGGTGCCTTTGGAACTTCCCTCTGCCCAATTCAGCTCTGGGTTTTGAGGTTCTGCTTTGTCAGGACTGTCTCCCCGGGTGAAAACAAATAAATCAGATTTCTTGCACTCTGTTGAGTTGCTACTATATTTACTTCTGCCCAAAATGAGTGTGCATGTGTTTGTGTGTGTGTGTGTGTGCATGCATGGATGCAGGCATGCGTGCACGCACGCAGAGCTGCCCTGATTCTGCGGCAGCTGCCACTCAATCTGTTCCACTCTTGCCTTGGTTTAGGGGCGCTGGGCATCTCGTGGATCAAGTACTACTGCCAGTTCAAGAAGGAGACGAAGATGCTAAGAATGACGCCTATGGAGCAGAAGCCGGGGGCAAAGCAAGTAAGCGGGTGACTGCCTTGAAAACGATGCTCTGAGACTGGGGCCATCGACTTTGCAATATTTTCTGTGGGCTCAATGACACACAGTGTGAATCAGCTGGGAGTTCTCCGTCCCTCCCACGATCTGTAGTTTTTCCCCTCTGCCATGGGGACTTCTCCTTTTCTGGAATCAAATGCATTTGCATCGGTGGAGACAGTGTGACCGCTGGAGCCGATGTGGAAGGGTTTGTAACAGTTAGATTTAAAGCCGTTCTGACTGGTGGCCACAGCATTGAGAGAGGCAGGGCACTGGGGATACCGGCTGCCCTTTGAGTCTTCCCAGACTTGGTGCCTGGGTCTCCTGGTTTCCATTTACTGTGATCAGGGTACCCCAGCAGTCCAGAGAACCGCTGCAATCAGGGGTTGTTTATTGCCCTGCTGATCTGCAGCTATTTGGGACCTGTTTCCCACTGGGTGACTTTGCTACATAAATAAGAATGATTCTGTTAGTTCCATTTGATTTTAGCTTGGGGTGAATTTCTGGGCTGGGAGAGAGGAGGGGGGGTTCTGTTCCTGCTGCTTCCCAGCAAGGATTTATCTTCTGATTTAGGGCTTTAAAAATGCCACCTGGGTCTCCTCTTGTTGTCCTTGCTTCTTTTTAAATGATGGCTTTGAACCCTGTTTCCCTCAGGGCACTGCCCAGTTGACCCTGAAGTCTTGTGTAAGGAGGAAGACAGACTCCATCGACAAAAGATTTTGCTTTGACATCGAGACAATTGAAAGGTAAGCTGGAGAAATCAATCCAGAAAATAATGGGGCGAGTTTTCGACTCATATATTAATGAGGCTTTGTTTAAAAATTGAATGGGCTGGAAAGTTTTTAAAAAGGGCACAGGAAGGTCAGTGTTCTTCCTTGGATTCTAATGGCTGGAAATTAGAATTGCCACCAAGGTTCAAAGGGGATTTCTTTCCTGGAAAAGACATGTGACACTTCCAGGGAAACCCCACTGACATTGGAAAAGATAAGCTGCACCTTAAGAAGGCTGCCAACAAATTGGAATGAGTTCAGAGGAGGGCAGGAAGGATGATCAGGGGACTGGAAACCGAGCCCTAGGAAGAAAGATGGAAAGAACTGGGCAGGTTTAGCCTTAAGGAAGGAGACTGAGGGGAGACAGGATAGCACTTTTCAAATTCTTGAGAGGCTGTCATACAGAGGAGGGGCAGGAGTGCAGGACACATAACAAAGGGTTCAAGCTACAGGAAGCCAGATTTTGGTTGAATATCAGGAAAAAACTTCCTAACTCTTAGAGTGGTATGGCAACGGAACCAATTGCGTTGAGGAGTGGTGAGCGCTCCAACACTGGGAGGCATTCAAGAGAAATTTAGACTACCACCAGACAGATCTACTTGGATGTGTATTGCTGCCTTGAGCAGGGGATTTGACTTGATGGCCTTACTTGGATGTGTATTGCTGCCTTGAGCATGGGATTTGACTTGATGGCCTTATAGACTGCTTCCAACTCAATCATTCTATAATTGTATAAGAAGAATTTCCCAGGAGGATTTCTGCCTGTTCAGCTCCCAGAAGATGGGGATATCGCTTCACTCTATGCTTTATCTTGGGGTTCCTTCTTTCCGTCAGCTGATAAAGAGCAGGCTGTGTGAATGCCTCAACACTTCCATTTGTCACTGAATGAATTTTGCCTGAAAAAAAATCCCATGTCATGTTGCTGTTCCTTGGGCTGAAGATGTAGTCATCCATATGCTTTCTTTTACTACTAAAATTACCCAGTTTTGACATGGAACCTGTGAGAAGATCATACATGCAATAGGGCACCTTCTTAATGTCTTGGTTGCATTCAGAAACTTTACTTTTCTTAGTTTTATTGTTAGGGGTGTAAGAGGTATTAGAAATTTTAAAATTTTAGATTCTGTTTTGTCTCAACCCTCCTTTGCTCTGATGCTTGTTGGATCTCCCGCAGGCCTGGGCCCATCACCTTGCAGGCTCCTTCGGAAGCCAACCGGCGGCTCTGGATGGAGGCCATGGATGGCAAAGAGCCGGTAGGTATTCAGGAAGTGAAATCATTTAAACTGGTTTTTAAAAAAGGAGAAAGACATTTCTGGTCATCTGAAACAATATTTGAATGGAGGGAAAGTCAACCTGCAGCCCCTCTGTAGAAACAAAGTTCTGGCTTGGGTAAAAACCTTTATCCAGTCATTAAAAAAATTACAAACAAGGTGAGCTTGCAAGTTCTAGCAGAATTCTTCATCAAGGAAAGATATTATAAAGCTTGGAATGGTCAGAGAGAAAGCAAATATTGAGGTGTGGGGGGGGAGAGATGTGATGCTTGTTTTCCTTGACTGCAGACTTCTGAGATTAAGCTTACAGTTTCTACCTAAGACAAAGGTCTCCAGATTGTCATTTTACAGAGATCGCTGGACTTGTAAAATCCATTTTACATCAGTGGAATTGCTTGCTAACCTCGGGTCTCAGTCCTGTGCCCAGTTTTCAAGGACGATCAGTGCAGTATTACCCAGAAATCTCACGGGTATATAAATCTGCATGACAAAATTGCATAACTGTCCTTTTTCTTAGACCACTGCCTTCCGGGAGGATGTGTTTTTAGTTTGTGTAGCCGTTCTGTTCCTGTTCGCACACATTCCGACAGTGTACTTTCCATGACTTTCCTTAATTAACCAGTTTCCTTCCTTCCATGTCCCATCCTACGGTTTACCACCACCTCCTTCTCAAGAATTATTGTTAATTCCCGAGAAGGAGGTTATTTATTAACTAAAGTGCAGGAGAGAAGGAAGGAAGGGTCTCAGCATACAATTAAACTGTCTATGTAATACGGTGTTTGGGCTCAAGCTGAGAGTGTCACATACGGGAATAACGCTGAGCAGGAAGGGTGTAACATTGGAAGTTCTGGGCCAGAGGCCAAAGGAAGACTGTGCAGAGGAATAGTAAACACACTTGGGGAAGAGCAGGGAGGAAAAGCGAACCCCGTCCTGTTTGTGAAAATGAAAACATGGATGCTCTGCAGTGGTTCCCAACCTTGGGTAACTCATCTGTCCTTGGAGTGCAATTCCCAGAAATCCTGTATGGAATTATTATTATTTTGGAAGTCTCTTTCCCAGATGTTTGTGTGTGTTCTGCATATCATCTGAGAAGAGGAAATACATTTCCTTGAACCTCTGTGAGGACCTGATTCCTAGGCTTGTTTCCTCGCATATGTTTTGGCGGGGGAAGGCGGGGGAAGAGGTCTGAAGGCTGGAGTCTCTCCCGAGAGGAGAGCCCGGCTCCAAGAGAGAGAAATCTCACCTGGAGTGTTCTTGTTTGCTTGTCTTTCTTCCCCAGATCTACCACAGTCCCATCTCAAAGCAGGAAGAGAGTGAGTAACCGAGTCCTCTGTTTGCACCCTTTGTGCCCGATCCGTCCGTACACTTAAGCTGTTTGCACGTGGCACTAGCTGTTGCCCTCTCCCGGTGGCTGTTCCATGTTGCAGCCGCTGCCCTGACCCTGCTCTTCCGTTCCTTCCTGAGATAGCTTTGGCCCGAGAATTTTGGGCTTTTTAGACCTAAACCATCCCTTTGAATTCTTCCATCTCGGTGCGGTGATGCGGGGGCAATTGAAACCACCATCTCATGGGTTGAACTCAGTGCCCGGCCACAGCCTATAAAGGCTTCTGGGCCAGACACACAGGGTCCGAGCAATCCCTGGAGCAGTTGCTCCTTGCTGCTCATTCCTTCATCCCATCCATGCACGGAGGAGCATCTCACCCCCTAGCCTTCCTTTTCTGACCATCCTACCTGAAGATTCACATCGATCATCTTTCTTTTCTTTCACCCCCTCTCTGGCCAGTGGAACTCAATGAAATCGGCTTCAGATTTGTCCGGAAATGCATCAATGCAGTGGAGACAAAAGGTAAGCTGTATGTAGAACGTTGGAAGGCATTTTCACTGTGACGGTTCAGCAGGTTCTGCTGATCATCATCCTTGGCTGGTGTTTCATCCCCCGGCCATCTCTGAAAGCCATCACCAGTGTCTGTGAAATGTATTTACCTTGCTGTCCTTTGCGTCTGGGGTCACAGTTTCAGGAACATTAGACTAGGTCAGAAATTCTCTTCTGCGGGTAGAGACAGGGCCCCCGCCTCAGGATGATCTTGGACTGCACCCTATGAAAAGATCTGTGTCCTTTCTGTGTCATTGAGCGAGGGAGGAAAATGGGAGGTGCAAGGGAGGCCTTGTGGCTGCCCGAGTCATTTTGGCAGGCCCTCGATGTCCTGCTTTTAAGAGCAATTCTGCAAAAAGTCCCATTTTCCATTCCTGGAAACCTTTAGGAGCAGTTCCGAAACAAAACAAGAAACAGATTAGGTCCCTCAGCTCTACAAAAATGGAACTGGAAGTGGACCTCTGGCAATATTCAGTTTGGATTTCCCATCCCTTTTTTTGCTCTTTTCCGGGGTGGGTGCAGCCCATGAGGGGTTCCTGGGGGCTGGGAAACTGGCTCTCAGGTCCTCCAGGGTTGCCTGCCTCTGATGGTGGCAGAAACAGAGCAGAGACAGGACCTACTGGATCTGCAGCCCTGCCAAACCTTGTGTATGCCCACAACCGAGCTGAAAATTTGGAAGAATTTTGAGGTGGTGTAAAGAACCCCCTTCATTGACCGTGATGGGAAGCAACATGCTTTTTAAGAAGGGCAAAGAGAGCAGAACATCACTCCTTTCTCCCTGCTAGTGGGAGTCTACGAAGGCTTTGGAGGAAGCACGGCCTTGAGCTGGGTCTGCTTTGAGTGCAGAGTGAAGAGTCATCTGCCTGGAGATTAAAGACGCCGACAGAGAGGCAGAGCACCTCTCCTGAGTCTACTCAGACCAGGAAAGCACAGGAGGAAATGAGTTGTGGGTGCCCATTGTAATGAGAAGCCTGGAAAGCTGACTCTTTTAGCGATGCTGGATATGTTTGGGGGCAGAAGCTAGACACACACTTTCCTGTTTGTTGCAAGACAAGACAAGATGGTTGACCGTCCGACGTGTGAGCTATACAAAAGAGAAGGCGTTGAGTAGACTGGAGTTGTTTCTGTGGTTCCAGGGAGCATTGTCATAAAAACAACGCCGAAGTAAATGGTTTCTGCTTGGCACAGAGCTCTCTAGACAGCACTCAAAATCCCAGACAGTTTAGTGTTGCCATCAAAATGCTTAAGTGGCTGGCAGGCAACAGCTGAACAAACTTAATGTGGTTACAGTCCCTGGAATATTTCCTTGCGTTAAATGCTGTCAAATAGCAGTGGGTGCCTGAGCTAGACTGTTTCCGGGGGGGGAGCTCAAGTGGAAGTGAGTATAAATGTGTGTACCACTGCCTATGTGCATGTGTAATGTGTTGCTGTTATTGTTTGCAGTGGCTTGAGCCATTTAAGACCTCAAAGGCTGCTCTCCCTCTCTCCCCAAATTAGATCGAAGGCTCTGCTTTTAAGTTGTGTTTTCTACCCTTTGGCCACAGTCCTGCTGCTTTTGTCATCATATAGCTGGAGTAAATCTCCGTGTTGGATGGCCACTAGCTGAAACATCAGTGCAGGCACTTGGCTGTCCTGGGCTGACTTGCTGGACAGCCAGAAATGCCTGCACTGACTTTCCTTTTTTAACTTGCTGCAATGGGTGGCTGACATTTACACGGACTCCTGTGAGTGCAATGAATAGGGTTTTGGCAACCATGTTAAAACAGCGAGGAGAAGGTGTTTTCGGGGTATCCCTGCCCCGTTGGAGCCTCACTTCCCTCTAGCTTCTTTGCTTTCTTTCCAGGACTAGCAACTGGTCATGGTGCTTATAGGGGTAATTCTATTTAATGAGCCACCTTTCTTGTTATTATTATTATTCAAAAACACCAGGCACAGTCCATCAAAATTATAAAAACATTGACGGGTTTTGTATAACATATACAAGTTTTAACCAGAAACCTAAGTAGTATAACATACACAAGTTTTAACCAGAAACCTAAGTATTTATTAAATATTGACGTAGTATGTATGTTGTTCCTAATGCTTCCATTTTTTTAAAACTCTGCTGTTATTAATCATCATTATCATCATCTTGGGACTGCAGACCTGGAAGGGGGACCCAATGGATCATGGAGTCGAGCCCTTGTCAAGAAGGCCTGGGGGTGGGGGGGAATCGAACTCCCAACCAACCCCTGAGGTATCCAGCAGTACTGGTCTATGTGTCTTCCATCTATCTGTTGCCCAGCTCAAGCCATGAGGGGGAGACATACTGAAGACAATCTTAATTTTTTTGGTGGGTCTGAGGGTTGTTTCACCCATTCAGCAGAGTTTGCCAGATGTGCCCCCAGAGTCTTGTCTGTCAGCACCAGCCGTCGGCTGTTTTCACTTCGATGAGAGGAAAGGCCGTACGTCGGCACACACGACGGGCGCGTGAAGCACAAAGTGTCTCTCGGTGTGCAAACCCTTCCCTCCTGCACATCTCCCGCTCTCTCTCCAAAACAACCACAGGCCTCTGGGAAGTTTGTAGCTTTAGGACCGGCTGGTGGTACTACAAGGTTAGGCACAGGGACAGCTGTGAGAAAGGACCTCCTCACAGGGTTACTGCCAATGGCTTGCACTTGGGCCAGGTCTACTCAGCCTGGGGTTTACAGTCTGGTTTAAAAAAGCAAGCAAACACCACCTTGTCAAGAAAGCAGCCATATGCTCTCCTAGGGTTCATGACAGATTCAATTCCAATGGCTCTTTATGTCTTTTATCTCTGGCTTCGTCGCTCCATCCAGTCTGACCACTTTTGGGGAATTCAGAAGCTTGCCCACTGGTGTGGGTTGGTCTTAATAAAGGCGCCCCCACCCCCACCCCAATGGACCAGCACAGGGTGGATTTCAAGACATTTGAATTGCCGGAAACGGTCACAGCTTTTAGAGAAGTAACCACCTGCACAGTGATAATTCAGAGTTGAGTGTTTTATACGTGAATTTCTGAAGATTGAATTCCTGAAGGACCTCTGTGGTGGTCTTCAGTGTCAAGAGGTGATGACTTCCCGGATGAGCTGTTGTTATACGCATGTGGATTTTCAGTGCCTCTGGATCCATGCACACAAAAAAAGCAGCAACCAGACCCTTGCCTCTCTGTGGGTTCTCTTGGACGTTGAAGGTTCAGGTTGAGAGGAGTCAATGGGGCACAGAAAATGCTTGCTGAAAAGCAGAATTGCATCGCAGGTGCAGCAAAGCACTTAGAGACTGGTGGCATTCTGATCAATGACTTTAAGGGATTCTGTGGATTCTGGATGGCTCAGGGGTTTAGGTGTCTCTGGCTGTGGAGCCAGAGGTTGGGAGTTTGTGTGCAAACCCTTCCCTCCTGTGGATATTATAAGAGCCAGCCTGGGTGGCCTTGGGCCAGCTGCACAGGGATACGTACCAGGGTGCCCACAGAAGAAGGGAATGGGAAACCAGGGTTGCGTACTCTCTACCTGGAGAACATTGGAAAAGGTGGCTGTACGTCAGAATTGCCGTGATGATTATTACAGATTCTGGATGCAGCTCCATTTTAGGTCCCGGACTGAGCCCACACTTTCTCCCTGTGTTACTGCTGCCCAGACCCTTCTAAAAGGAGACCTCCCTGTGTTTTTCAAAGACGACACAAGATGGCACTGGTGAGCTTTCCAAACAAGTAAGAATAAGAACCATTTTGTTCTCTTAGAAATAACTGTTTGCTTCTATTTTGTTCCATCCCGCTCAGGAATCACAACGGAAGGCGTGTATCGGACGGTCGGCAGCAACATCCAAGTTCAGAAACTCTTGAATGCATTCTTTGGTAAGAAGGAAAAACCTTGTGGCTGCTGCTCCTTTGGATAGGAGGTCACATCAAAGGAGCAGTGGATCAGAGAGAGAAAGACACCTTCTAGACCAGCTGTCCCCAGATGTTTCTGTACTAAAACTCCCTGTTTTTTTGGGGGAGACAGTGACAGAAAGTTAGGCAGGGGCCCTGCAGGATTTGGGCCATGACTGAAACTCCTGGGAAGCAGCTTTGTGTAGATCAGGATGTGCAGAGATGCAAGAGATGCAAAGAGGTCTGTGTGGGTCCAGCATCTTTTGGGGTGGGTGGGTGGTAGACCTCTTCCTGACAGCAAAACTGGCATAAGCTCGTGGGGGTCTAAAACCTGTAGCGTTTGGACTCGATGGCCCTATTGGCCTCTTCCAACTCAATTATTCTATGATTTGGCTCCCATTCCGCTCAACTTAATTCTGCAATTAGTGTTTGGCCAAGCCGAGCTGTCGCTTGATGAACACAATGAGAACAAGAGCATGCAGACTTGGAGGAGGAAGATGACAGAGGAATGGCTGCCTTTGCAGTCCAAACTTGAGGAGGGGAATAAATTTGAGTGTATAGTCTTGGGAACAAAATAAGGAAACAGGAGTGAGTACTATGGACAGGGGGAAAAATAGGGGAAGGATGTTTAGTAGAGATTGCAGTGCTGGGAAAGGAGCTGTTGGTTTGACAAGTGTATAAATTTGAAAAACTGCAGCTAACTGTTCAGAATGGCTTTGTGCTTTTAGAGAAAAGGAGAATTGCCGACTAAATGGGGATCAGATTTCTGAGACCGAGGGGACAAATAAAATTAGTCGAGTGATGTAAGGCTGCAGACGGTTGGGAAGGAAACCAATCAGGGCTTCTCCTTCTAAGCTTTTTCCTCCTCTTTGATGGTAGAGACATTTAAAGGAGTTTTGCCCTCCAGCTGCCATAGATTGGGGAGGCAAACTGATCTTAATGGCTGTGTTTTTTCAGTGCGAAAGATTTTTTTTTTTAAAAAAAATGCCCTCCAGCTTTTTCTGCACAGCTATCCCTTCTGTTGCTTCGTCCAGCACTCTGTCTTGGCCGCCACTTTGTTTTAAAACTCTCTCGTGCTGCACTTTTCTTGGCATCTTGCAGAATCTGGAGTGCGGCACCAGCCGAGGTCACCCACTTTAATTATCTTGGGCCAAGTGGCTTTGCGAGCCGTTAATAGCCTTTCCATCTTTTGTGTGTGCTTCCTCGGAAGCCAAGGCTCTTGATTGTTAACCAGCCCTTGGTTCGGCTGAGACCACATTTCCATGGCTCCTGGCACCATCAATCTTTTGTGGCAGGACGAGAAGGTTGTGTTTGCAGCCAGCAAGAAGTTTTGGATGTGTGGGTGGGTGGGGGGAAAAAGGTGCTTTTTGAAGCACCCCAGTGTGTAACTGCTCTCCTGTCAGAGTTGGTCACTCCCTTTCCTCCATGGACAAGAGCATCAGACCCAGCCAGAAACCCTCTCCCTCCAAACCAGCCTTCATAGTCTTGTGCCATCACAAAAATGTTGCGGTCGCTGGGGAGATCTAAATAGGCTGCGCATGTGCTCTGTGTCCTTCCCACCCATCAGCTGCCAAACAAAGAAGCAAATACTTCAGGGAGTCGTTGGGAAGAATGTAGGGAAAGTAGAAAGAAGAAGGTTGATGGAGACCATCAGGAATGCACTGAGTTGTTGCACTGAGGTGTCCTTGCAACGCCGGGCCCCAGAGGGCTTTGCTTGTGGGGTGTTGCTTCCCTTTGGGAGCGAGTTCCAGGCGCTTCAGCTGAGCGAATAGCACGGAACAATTCTCAGTTCCTTGGAAGGGCCAGTGCTGCTGATCCGCCCTTCCCCTGCGGCCTGGTTTCTCCCGCTGAAAATGCTTTGATAAGTAAATGATGGTTTACAGTTTCTCATGTGCAGAAACCAGAAAAATGAGGCTGAAATCTAAAATTCTAAGGTTTAGCTCTTGCAATGCTTGTTCCTTTCCTCGTTTTTAAAATAAGCAATTTATGATACTCAGGGTTATATTCAATGTGTGTGCGTGTGCATCTGTGTGTGTGTGTGTGTGTGTGTGTGTGTGTGTGTGTGTGTGTGTGTGTAGCTAGCTAGATAGTATATTCTTTTCTTTTGTAGAAGGCTTAAAGAACCACAATATACCTGCATTAAGGTTTAGTTAATCTTGTAATAGATCAAGCAATCAGTTAAGAAATCATTTTCTTTTTTGTTTCCTATGTTCCCTTGCTCGGCTCTTCCCTCTCAAGACCCCAAGTGCCCGGGGGATGTGGACTTCCAAAATGATGACTGGGATATCAAGACCATCACCAGCTCCTTGAAGTTCTACCTCAGGTAACTTTCACAGATTACTCTAGTCTTATTTTACCACCTTGTAAGGTCGATGGAGTTCTCCTTTGTTGTTTAATCTGAGCAGGAAACTGTTCCTGGTTTCTGTTGGTTTAATAATAAATGCCTTATAAGAGTGGGCACATTTGCACACTCTTATATTTTTGCACACTCTTTACATTTGCTCCATACTATCAGACTGGCCAGAATCCAGTTTGGTTTGTACATTTGTGGGAGAGGAACTGCAGGAGCTGCTGTGGCTGATGGAGAAGGTGCAGGTTGAGAACCTGGCCATGTGCTTGGGAGGTATAAGTGAGTTGGGATCAGCTGCAGTCACGTTCCTGGTCCCTTTAGTGCACCTCTAAAGCTGCCGCTGGATTCTGCCCTCTGTCAGTGAAAATGCTTCCCAACCCTTTCAATGCACATATAATAGAGATTTAAGAAAGCCAGTGTCCTTCCATCTTCTTCTGAGCGGATGGAGAAGAAGAAACCAGCTGGGCCCCCCATTGACCTGGTTCTCACCTTCTGTTGCAGGAACCTCTCCGAACCCGTCATGACATATAAGCTGCACAAGGAATTGGTCTCAGCTGCCAGTAAGTGCTGGGAGTGGGCAGTTGGGAGGGAGGGAGGGGAGGAGAGTCCTGAAAGGTGTGCATCTCTCTGCATGATGATGGCAAGCCATGTTTTCCCGCAAGGGTTGGATCTCTGTCAGAGACTTGGAAGAGACCAGGAGAGACAGGGCAGCAGCTCACCTCTTAGTTTCTCAGGGAGGTTGATCCTGCATGGAAAAGAAGGACCTCACTCTCACCCCAGCAGCCGGATCTCTAGCCCCCACCAGCCCCTGCAGGTACAATCCTGGCTCGCCTATGAGCTGCGATGGGTAGAAATGGACATTTCCCTCCTTCCCTCCCTCAACTGCAGCTTTGCCATTCATTTTCAACCTGAGCAACCATAGTTCAGGGAGGAACAGATTTTTTCCACTGAAACCCATGATTTGAGTGGGTTATCAGATCCTCGTTGGAGAGGAGATGTGATTAGCCTTGAACAATAGGAGGGCTGCCTGTGTAACTCTAATTAAACGGCAGCTGGGGAGGGATACAGCCCCAAGGTTATCGGCTGGCGTACGTGTTTGTTTATTTTGTTCCTGCATCTCAGTTTTTGAGGAGGCAGTGCTCAAGGTGCCCCAAAGAAACAGTAATAACAATAATAATAATAGTAAAAAGACAATTAGGAGAATATACAATCGGATGCAGTGAAACCAGAGAGTGTTTCTGGACCACGTTGTGGGTAGGGACCCTGCTCGGAGTTCTTTGTTTTAATTGATGAGGGGTTTGTTCCGAATGTCATTGAAACGGCACAACTCATCCGCGCAGAAACCTTTCGACTGATGCAGATCCACATTTGAAAATCAGTTGTTTTGTTCTTTCCTGATATTTCTGGATTTCTGCTTCCCTCGCTAATATATATCCGAGTCACAAACAAACAAACAAACAAACAAACAAACATTTTAATGTTTTTGAATTTTGCTGAATTCTCCCGAGTCTCCCCTGGAGGTTTTCAGGACAATTTTGCTCAGCCACTAATTCCAAGGGGCTGAACTACAGACTCATTGGGTGCATGCCATTCACACGCACCCTGCTTGCCATGTGAATCGCAGACCTGAGCAGGTTCTGTCCTCAGGAGATAAGAATGACGAGCTGCACCCTTTTTTCCTCTGCTGTGGCCCAGAAAACAAAATCCCTTGGAATTCAAAGCCACAAACCACAAGCCTCTGATTTTGGACCTGGTGTTCCTCCCTAGAGTCAGAGAACCTGGACTACAGGCTGGGCGCCATCCATTCTCTGGTCTATAAACTCCCGGACAAGAACCAAGAAATGTTGGAGCTGCTCATCAGACATCTGGTCCAGTGAGTGAACGAGACACACATTCCTTGTTGAAGCGAGGGGAGTGTTTGTTCTGGGCAGCCAAGTGGAGGTGGAAGGGTGAACGTGGTGAGCTTCACCCTCTCTTCCGGGGGTGACTCGCTTTCGTTTGGTTTCACGTTGGTTTGGTTTGGCGTAACGGGAGGGGAAGCCGTTGTCTTTCAAGCAGTGACTGGAGACTGAAAGCAATTTTCCAAAGTACTTAAAAGGAGCCAAGAAACGTTGGGGTTTTTAGGTTGCTGGCTTGGTGTTCAGGGAGTTGTATTACCAAAAAGGTAACATTCCCAAGCTTCTCTTACATTTCCAGAAGAAGCACGCTCATGCTGGAGAGCTCAGGGGCGGAGGTCTCTGGCTGCGGAGCCAGGGGCTGGGAGTTCGATCCCCCCGGGCCTGCTTGACAAGAGTTGGACTCGATGGCCCAGAGGGTCCCTTCCAACTCTGCAGTAAAATTATTACTGTTGTTGGTTCCCCCCCCTTCCTATTTGGAGAGATCGTTTCTGTTCTCTTCCAGCCTCTGATGAGTGAGATGGGTCATGGCCAACCAGAGGAGGCTACTAAACAACATAGCCAATTAGGTCCTTCTTGAGAAGGGAGATGAGCCTTTTCCTGGACCACAGAAGATTCCCTTTCAGAAACATGACATTGACGCCCCCGACTCAAGCATGACTTCAATGCTTGGGAGAGAACAAACATGTCTGTTTTGGGGAAGCTGGGGCTTTGCAGGGGGTGCGCCATCCCTGGGTGTGATCAGGGGCCCCATCTCCAACCACATTGGGTTTCACCCTTGGGGTCCAGGCTTTCGGAGGTGTGCTTTGGAAACCTTTCTCCTGGAGCAGCTGGGGGTGGCTCCTGACTTCAGAAAAGCCTGTGCCTGCCTTAGATAGAGAGGTTTCTGCTTGTTTGGCTGCCCGCTCCCCTGTGGTGGTTAGAACGGGGTCTCTGGTGATTAGGAGGGGAGGGGGGGAAAGTGGAACTGCTACAGTCATGGAGTTTTATTACTTGGCATCCATAAGAGCAGCCTGCGTGACTCCAAAGAAGAGACTGAAGTTGCCTTCCATGTACAAAGAGGGTCTGATGAAGCCATGCGGTTCCCAGCTCAAACCGCGGAGACCCTGAGAAGTTGCAGTCCTGCTCTCAGGGTGTCCCTCTCGGGCCCCTCGTCCCTGATTCTGGTTCTCCCTTCTTTCTCCTGCCAGTGTGTGTGAGCACAGCAAGGAGAACCTGATGTCTCCATCGAACATGGGGGTGATCTTTGGCCCCACTCTCCTACGGGCCCAGGAGGACACGGTGGCAGCCATGATGAATATTAAGTTCCAGAACATCGTGGTGGAGATCTTGATAGAGCACTTCGACAAGGTATGATGAGGGGCTGCCCTTTCTGAACCTCCTCCCTGTCGTGGGGCTGGCTGAAATGTAACATGGTGTTTCTTTATTTTATTGGAAGATTTCCAAACCACCTTTCCGGTGGGGCTTGGGTCAAGTGGATTGGGTGAAGGTGGCTAAATCCTATTAGGATAAAAGCTGGAGGGATTGTTTCTAGAATCAGAGTGAAATTGTGGTGTGGATTGCAGGGGGACTGGGTTATGCAAAGAGTCAAAAACCCACCAAGGAGGCAACATTCGGGAAGAAATCCAGGCTTTTTCATCTCCCTTTTCATGGATTAACATGGATTGCTTTGAGTAAGGGTTTTCTGTTCACCCTCTAAAGCATCAGATGTTTCCTCAGGACCAAAGACCCAACGAGTTCTATCCAGTGTGTAAAGCCTTACAATAATGTTACTTTTAAAAAGTGTAGCCTTTTCATCATCATTACCATTACCACCACTGTGCGCTGTCAAGTTGATCACGACTTATGGGGACCCTTTCTAGAGTTTTCTAAGTATAGGGTAAGACACAGACATGGCTCGCCATTCCCTTCTTCGGGGTGGGGGACCATGTGTGGACCCCTGAAAACGTCACACCTGGTCAGGGGACTGATAGCAACTCTGTTAGGATCCTGAGTGAGTACTGTATTGCTGTTGTGTTGCTGTGGCTTGAATAAAAGCTAGGACAGGGAAACAGGGAATAAGGCGAAGGCTTGGAACAGCTGATGTTGTGATGAAAGGACCGTATGAGAATCATTATGGGATAATTTGAACATGGCAGCTTTGGTTTCGTTTAAAGTCTGATTAAAAGTAGCCGAGACCATGATTTCTGAATGCTTCACGATGGACGGCTCTTGGTGTTCCCTTCTGCTCTGCTGCTTGAATGCAAAGGATTCTGGCCGGCAGAGGGAGGTGCTGAGGACAGTAGAACAAACAAATTTTCTCATTTCCAGAACGATGTGTTTTAATTAAAAGTAAGAATTCTTCTTCCTGGCCTTTAATTTTGCTGCAGCGATAAGGTTAAGCTAGTAACATTTTATTAGGTTTGGCACTTGCAAGTGTGGGCGCAGAGTCGAGCCGTGTTTCGGCTCGCACATAAGCAAACACTTCAAATGAATTTCAAGCAGGCATGATATATTATTTATGCTGTGAATTATGAGGACTCAAAGGACAGCAGAATTGTTCGCAGCGCTGGTAATGATTGCTTTGACTTTAAACCTGAATGCGGTGGCTAAATTAAAAAGCTGATCCCCCCTTCTCTCTTTCCGCTACACAAACACTCGCCTGAAATGTTAAGATTCGTTTAATATTGCCGTTGTTCTGAAAAAAATGAAATGGGACATTATGAACCAGCAGGACTTGTGTAAGTTTTCTGAAAAGAATCTTTTCAATCGAATTTTAATGGAGAGAACACACTATCAGCTATTTGAGTTTATGACCTGTGCAGCTCTTAATTCTCACTTACATCTGTAACTGAGTCGCTTCCTTGTTAAACTCAGGACAGTTCTAAGCCTGGATAGTACAAGCGTGATACCAGGAAAGGCTGCTGTCCTGAAGTGTGACACCTGGCGAATCCCTGATCTTGCATCTACAACTTTTACGGCTTTGTGGGATGTCACAGGGTGGAAACCCCACAGTCCAGCCTCTGAAGGTCTTATTTTGCCCCATCTCTTGTTCTGCAAGCCTCTGTCCGTGGACGTTCCCCCTGCTTTCGAAATGTTGAGCTGACGAGCTCCTCTCTCAACAAGGAGTGGCACTGCCAGTCCGCAGGAGAAGGACCTTTTGACAGGGGGGTTCCCAGGCAATACTTCCATCCAGAGGGGCTTTCATCCAGCCATTTGGCGGCTCAGCAATAGCTGCAGCCATGCGGACACTCTTGTCGCACTGCGGACGTGCTGTCCTCTGCTAGCTTCCAGATGATTCTCCTGTCCAGATGCCAGGAGGACGGTGCTACCAAATGGCGTCTGCATTTTCACGAGGAATGAATGGGTGTCTCTTCCCCAACCCCCTTCCACATGTCTGTTTTGGCAATCCTGCCCTGGGAGCGTTGGGAGCGTTCTTTCTGAACAAGAGGCTTCGGTTGAGCTAGGCCCAGCTAGGCCTTGGAGTCTTTCAGCTTAGGCCTTTCTCCCAGGTGAGCCGCAGCGAGATGTCTGCGGGGTGTCAGTTACAACTCCCAGAATAGAGGATTGTGGGACCTGAACTCCAAAAAAATAAAAATAAAAAATCCCATCTCTAGTAGGAATGGCGATAGAGCAACAGCGGGAAGAAGTGGCTAGTGGAGGCGCCGAAGGTGTCCAAATGCCTTTGCCACCCAGGAACGAAAAAGCTTCGCTTCCCTTGTGTTCTGAACAGGGTGGTTATTCTGCCAAAGACCTGGGCCACAAGAGTCTCGGAGAGAGTGACAGCTGCTTTGTGCTACCGGATCTGGGTGCAGAGGATCTAAGCCAATGAAGCATGGAGGATGTTGCTGAAAAGCGGTCCCTGCCCAGCTATTCTGAAAAGCAAACTCTTGGGGCACGTACAGCTGCCGAGCATATTTCATGTTCCCAGACCCATCGGCCCTGTGCTGACAGCAGGTCTCTGGGCATGGCAGTCTGGGAAGCAATAAATGGCAATGAATGGCAATAAAAAAGCATGAGTGACACCCTTCACCTTCCTTAATCAGTGGGACGGTTGCCACTGGTTCTTTATGGCTCATAGGCCTTTCAAGTGCATGCCCCCGAGAGATAGAGTCGAGCGACTCTCACAGCCTTTTGTCTCTTCTGCATATTCTGGCAGATCTTCCTGATCTCTCTGTGTGTAGTCTCTCTCTCTCTCTCTCTCTCTCTCTCTCTTTTGCTGTGTGGCCTTGTGCCACACAATGGCACTGTACCGCAGTCTGGCCAGGGCCCCTGTCTGCTTTTCAGTAATAGGTAAGTGTTCATGAGAGAGGCTGGATGGGGTTCCCCTGGAGCCCCCCTGGATGCCAAGGGCAAGAGGCTCTCTGACCACTTTCTTTTGTCCGGCTACTTGCGTAGCCTCTCCTTGGCACAAGAGGGCCCAATTGCAAACGACTGGGTACCGGTATGAGGAGCATCCTTGTCTGTGAGCGGCCGACCCGTTCCGAAACAGCTCTCTCTCTCCGATGGCAGTCAGCCAGGTCCAGGTATGAGTAGATCCAGTCAAACCAGGATCAAACTGCAGGTTGACAAAACTCTTGCAGTTGATGCTGCTGTGGCTCTCGGAGGCATCATCCTTCCCCCCCTGGTCTCCGTAAATGACATGTATGGGCTTGGCTGTGCAAAACTCCTCGGAACATTGTAGAGCTTAAGATGTTAGATCACTTCCCCAACCCCTTCGCGCATGTCCAGATCCATAGATTGGGATGAAGCCATAGACCATATTTTGATGCAACAGAGAAGAGGACGTTTCTGATTTCCAAATAGGAGAGATGGCCGTACATTGGCCCAACACTGTTCTGGCCTCGGATGCCAAACCGTGTACCAGGATCAGGCCTGAGCACCACCCAGCCCTTCACCATCCGCTTTCCCATGCTATAATTGATGGGAGTTGGATGATTTGTTCTTTCCATCCTCATCACAATGTTATCCATGCAAAAAGGAGGCTGACATACATTTGAAAGCTTTCATTAACAACCCTATTAAGCACGAACCTTTGGGTTCCAGCCCTATTAGCTAAGAATCAGGTCCTTTGTTTGTGTAATTTAGCAGAAAACTGTATTTCCCATGGGAAAACAACCCATTTTTGTCTGTTAATAAATCTGATCAATTCTACAGTTGGACTTGTTCTGTTAATATGCTTTCATGTTGATTTTTATTAAAATGGGTGCTTCTGAAAGGAGATGTGAGAGGAACAGAAAGAGAAGGGCCCTCCCAGAGGAAATGGAAGAATCAAAAGGACTTTGTGTTCGGTTTGTTTTGAGTTCCAACTAGACACGACAGCACCACCAGTCAGGGATAGAACAGTGTCTGGTTTCGAATACATAAGGAGCCCAGCTTCAAAACTGGGTGTCTGTGCTGAAAAGGGCCAGGTTGCAAGCCTGCAAGGGATCCTGAGTTGCTGGATGGTTCCTGCCAGCCATAGAATCGTAGAATCATGATGTTGGAAGAGGCCTCTAAGGCCGTCGAGTCCAACTCGCTGCCCAAGGTAGGAATACAACTCAAAGGCAGGAAGGCAAGTCCGCCAGGCGGTTGTCTAGTTTGCTCCTGAGTGCATCCAGTGTTGGAGCACTCAATATCTCCCGAAGTCATTGGTCCCATTGTTGTACTGCTCTAACAGTTAGGAAGTTTTTCCTGATATTCAGCTTAAATCTGGCTCCCCGTAACTTGAGCCCATGATTACATCTTCTGCACTCTGAAGTAATCGCAAAGCGATCCCACCCCTCCTCTGAGTGACAGCCTTACAAGCCTTTGAAAAGTGCTACCGTGCCTCCCCTCTGTCTTCCCCCCTCCCCACGGCTAACCGTGCCCAGTTCTTTCAGTCTTTAATAAAAGTGGGAGGAAGGAAGGGCCCAGCTTCAAGGAAAGGCAGCTTGTGGGCTTCCCGTGG